TGGGGGAGCCTGTGATGGGGGAGCCTGTGATGGGGGAGCCTGTGATGGGGGAGCCTGTGATGTCGGAACCTGTGATCGGGGAGCCTGTGATGTTGGAGCCTGAGAACTCTCTCCTATTCTGAGCAGCATCGTGGGCTTTGGCTCTCATGACGACATGACACGTGACTTTCAGCTCCCCCGTTGTGACCAGGACACTGCCATTCCCTTCTGTTTTTATTTCTTGAGCTGCTTAGCAATCTCTTCCCTGGTTCTTACCCATGATACAACCTCGACTTTCTCTTTCTCTAAAGGTTTATTTTATCTTTTAATTATGTGTGTCTCTGTGTGGGTATGTGCACATGCATGCAGGTGCCCGGGGGGTCGGGGACCTTAGACTCCCCCAGGAAGCTGGAGTTGGCAGGACCTGAGATGTTCTCATCTTCTGCAGAACCAGGAAGTACTCTTAACCACTGAGCAATCTTTCCAGGCTCCATGATTCAACTCTTTTTTGTTGTTTGAGATGGTTTTTCTATGCAGTCTTAGCTGTCATGGAACTTAATACATAGACCAAGCTAGCCTACAACTCACGGATATCCTCCTGCCTTAATCTCCAAAATCCTGAATTCTGCCCTTATTAGTTTAAAATGTGTTACATTTGTTTATACTGTGGAACACTTGTTTAATGATACAAAGATGTGTTGCATTCTTTTATGCTGCATTTGTTTAACTCTGTGAAACTGTGCTACTTTGCGTGTCTAAAACACCTGGTTGGTCTAAGGAAGAGCTGAATGGCCAATAGGTCGGCAGGAGAAAGGATAAGCAGAGAATAAATAGGAGGAGAAATTGTGGAAGAGAAGGTCAAGAAACAAGAGAAGGAGAAGAGGAGGACATCAAGAGCCAGCCACCCAGCTACACAGCCAGACACGGAGTAAGAAGGAAAGAAAGGTATATACAATAGGGAAAGATAAAAGTCCAGAAGCAAAAGGTTGCTGAATTATTTAAGAAAAACTGTCTAGAAACAAGCCAAGTCAAGGCCGGGCATTCCTAAGAAAGAATAAGGCTCTGTGTGATTTATTTGGGTGGTGGGCCCCACAATGAGCGAAGAGTAAAGAACCAACTGCACGTGTGTGTGTGTGTGTGTGTACACGTTCTTTGGGATAAAATACCCCCATCGCTAACTTCATCTTGTCCTTGGATAATCCCTGTTTTCATCATGTTCCCTCTGTGAGGCCCTTCCTCAATGCCCAAACTTGTTTCCAGGTCTGTTTCTTCTATGACATATCTCTCTCTTTCTGAAGGTGTCTTAAGCAGCCCAAGCTGACTTTGACCTTGGTACATAGCTAAGGATAGATAACCTTGAACTTCTGATCTTCCTGCCTCCACCTCCTACACAGACATGTCTGGGTCACCACATCCAGTTTATGCAATGCCAGGGATGGAAATGGAACCCAAGGCCAGGCAGGTACTCTGAGCTACATCCCAGTCCTCCTTTCCTTTTTTTTTTTTTTTGTTTTGTTTTTCGGGACAGGGTTTCTCTGTATAACAGGGTTTCTCCTGCCCTAGCAGTCCAGGAACTAACTCTGTAGACCAGGCTGGCCTCAAACTTATATTCACCTGCCTTTGCCTCCCAAGTGCTGGGATTAAAGGCGTGCACCACCACTGCCCAGTCCTCCCTTCCTTTTATACCAAACATTTTCAGGAACACATTCAAACTCAACCAGACTAACTAGTTAACTTTCGTTGTTAATGAGAGACTGCCGACTGCCCTCAGCATTCATCCTCAGTTCTATATATATATATATATATATATTATGTATACAATATTCTGTCTGTGTGTATCCCTGCAGGCCAGAAGAGGGCACCAGACCTCACTACAGATGGTTGTGAGCCACCATGTGGTTGCCGGGAATTGAACTCAGGACCTTTGGAAGAGCAGGCAATGCTCTTGACCACTGAGCCATCTCTCCAGCCCTCATCCTCAGTTCTTTTTAGCTAACAGAACTATATTAATTTTTACCCTGATATGGAACAACTTGGAGTGTAGGTTACACTGCATGTCCAGCCTTCCTGCCTGTTAAGTGTGCTCACGTGACTAAATTCTGGCCAGTGGAAAGTATATTTCAAGACAGGACGTTTGCTCTTCACTCCATCCTGCTGGTACTCGGAGGTGGCAGATTCCTTGTAGAGATGCCAAGCCGCAAGACAGTGGGGACGGATGTCCCTATGCTTTTGCAATGAGACACTTGCATCCACATGGCTTTGCCCTCAGAAATGTGGCCTTAGACTTCCTGTGTCAACGTGACTTATCATTTTTATCGTGAAAATTCTTGTTGCTTAATATGATGAGCATCAGCATTGGCTTCACAAGATTTATGTGGAATTTGTTCTGGCACAAGAGTCTCATTTTGGTAAATAATGGAGGGTTCCCCTCCCTGCCCCAGGACATCAGACTGCTCTCCGGAGCTAACAGTTCCCTTACTGTTTCCTTTCACTTTCACTCAGCAAGACTCAGACCATCGCCTTAACCAATACTTCACAAACACAGCCCAGTCCTGTTAGAGCTGTTAGACCTCAGTCTCGAGTTATGCCTTGAGTGAGCGGAAAGCCTCCAACCTGGAACCCTGAAGGTTACTGGAGCCTTTGTCTGAGGTGTTGAAGGCTGGCTGGTCACAGAGTTAGAGGCCAGCTCTGGGCCTCATTCACACAAGATGAGATACCAGTGTCTCTGACAGCAGCACTTTTCCTATTGGCTTTTGGTCATGGGCAGCCAAACAGGGTCACAGCACACTTCCCTCCGGTGAGAGTCGTCACCAGTGGACAGGGGGTGAGAACTCGGGGGCTCCTGTGCAGATCACAAGCCCCAGAGCCATTCACCAGGTCCCTGTGGATATCTGGCACCTGAGCAGTAACATGGATTTCAAAATAACCAAATGGGCTGGGTGTGTAAGCTAAATGGTTTGTAAACTACCCGCTTGGCCTATGTAAAACTTGGGTTGAACATTAGTGCCACAAAACAAACAAACAAAACCAGACCACACCCTCTCTCAAATATACCATGTTCTACATCTAAACAAATGTTTTTATTTGGAATTGTTACTTTAGTGTAGCCTGGTGAGATGGCTCAGCTGGTTTTGTTTTGTTTTGTTGGTTTTTGTTTGTTTGTTTGGACATAGGATTTCACTATGCAGCCTTGGCTGACCTGGAACTTGCTAGGAGCCCAGACTAGCCTCTAATTCACAGAAATCCACCTGCTTCTGCCTGATGATCAGATAAAAACATGCACCACCATGCCCACTGAGGACCAATCTTATTTTACTAATGCTCTTATTCCTCCCTTTCTTCCTCTGGATTGTTTTATAGTTAATCCTAGATATTCTATCATTTCAGGTAGAAGTATTTCAGCATGTACCTCTGAAGGCATCTTTCTCTCTTAATTTTTAAAAATTATTTTAATTTCTTTTTAGGTACATGGATGTTTTCACCTGTGGGTTTGCTTGTGCACCACAGGCACACAGAGCCAGAGGAGGGCAGAAGAGGCTTCCGGACCCTGGGGATTGGAGCTACAGATGGTTATGAGCAGTCATGTAGGTACTGGGAATCAAATCCATGTCCTCTGGAAGAGCAGTCAGTGCAGTTAAGAGCATAAAGTGTCTGGATAAGTGAATTTCCCAATTCCTCTTAATCTGTCAATTAGACTTCGTTTCATCTTCCTTTAGAGATTTGCTAAGGAATGTTTGTTTGTATCCCTAAACTCTGTGCTTTTCAGATTGTTCCCCACGTGTCATTTAGTCCCACCCTCCAATTTCCATTTCCTGTAAATTTGTGGGTGTATCTGTAGACTAGTCAGAACAGTGGGCTCTGGACAAAGCCATCTCAATAGGTGCTGGCCATTTGCTCCTACCAAGCGGCTCATCTTACCAACCTGTCTCTTCCAAAGGAAGGTGAATGCGATCCCTACACGAGGGACACGTCACCATCCGGTCTGAGTAACGTGGGTAGCAAACCTGGAAAATAATGGTTTGAGTTGGAAAACATTGCGATCCAGCAATGAATGACAGGCTTGTGTGGTGCGTAAACAGGCCCTGAAGGAAACTCCCGAGCTCCTCTATGCAAAGACAACCACCCGGGGTGGCGAATGTGAACGGAACAACACAGACATTGATGGAGAAATTGTGTGTTGCTTCTAAAACCAATTTCGTAGTGTGGGTGGATGCGCCAGGAGTCCGCTTGTAGTCACGTGTCTCTCCCCAGGGCCCCTAAACGTCCCCGTGTGTCGTTCTGAAATTTTAAAGTTGGCGGTGCTGGAAAGCAAGGCACACCGAACACCCCACCAAGGGCCTTCGCCTTAGCTCCATCCATCCCACAGCCCGTCACTTCCCAGCCATCTGGATGGGTTGACAAGGGTGCTTGGGTTCCACCCAGCTCCTCTCCGCCCGGTTTTGCTCCCATCTCCATTACTAGGCCTGAATGCGGTCAGGGTACCATAGGGGTGCAGGAGGCTTCTGAGCCGTCAAGAAAAAAGGAAGCAACATGGGGGAAGCTCCAGACGGAACAGGCGCACAGCAGCCAAGATGGAGAACCGGCTGAGCTGACAACGCTCGGAGGTCCACGTTCCAGCTCCGCGGAAGGACTCCAGTCTGGGTTCACATTCGAATTTTCCACGCGGTTCGCGGCCGACAACTGCGAAGCCCCGCCCACCGCGATAGCCCCTCCCCTCCCCGTGACGCAAGGAGGAGGAGCCTCTGGGGTTCGCTTCGCCTCTGGGCAGACGACTTCCTGAGCTCCTCCTACGCACGCGCCGCTCGGGCACTCGCGTCGGCGCAGTTCGGCCCCAGTCGGGCGGTCCCCTCTCCCACCCCCCCTCCCTAGCAACAGCCTCCCGCTCCCTCCTCCGCCCCTCGGCCTGGTGTGCGCACGCGCATTCCTTCCGGGGTTCGCCCCTCCCTCCCCGTCACCCGTAACAACCACTCGAGCCCTCGCCGCGCCCCTCGGCGCTCCCGCCCCGGCCCCCGTCCCCGGAACCGGCGGTCTAGCGGCGGCAGCCGAGCCTGTGGCACGGCTCTCTCCCCGCGGAGCCGCCGGTATGAACGCATCCCGCCGCCCCGCGTCCCCGACCCGGTCCTTTTGACAAGAGGTAAGCGCGCGTCGTCGTGGAGAGCTAGGAGCGCTCCCGGGTTCCCGCCCCCGGCCGGGTCCCTCTGCCGAGGTGGCCGCGGGCGCTCGCTTTCTCCGGGACGGCAGAGCCGGCCGGGTCCTCAGCCGCCGCCGCCTCGATCCGACCCGCCCCCCTCCTCCGTCCAGCCCCGGCCTGCTGGGAGGCGCTCCCCCGGGGCCGACCCTGGGCTGATTTTCAAACACCAATCATCATGCAATAGAGGCAGCCCGGGCCTCCCGTGCCATTTGGCGGTGGTCAACTCCGGATGCCCGCGCGGGGCGTGGATCTGGATCAGGCTCCCCAAACCGGGAACCTGCCCGAATTCAGGGAGCTGGCGAGTCTTGTCACTTTGGGTAAGAGTTTCTTAATACAGGCATCACGCAGTGCTTGCATCCTCTCCCCTAACCGTCAGCACCTGGTAATCCTCTTCCTTTTATTTGGGAGATAACCCGAAAACTAATTTTCTCAATTAAAAAAATATAAACGATGATTAGATTCCCCAGCGAGCACCAGCATCGTAAGGTTTACGAGAGTGAGTGGAACGCGGTCTCCGCGCTCCAGGACGCGTCAGCGCCTGAATCAAGATTAATGAAGGCTTGAGTTTGGAGGAGAACCGAGGAGTTTGGCTCACGACCTTATGGTTTGAAGGCTGGGGAGTGTAAGATCATCTCACAGAGATGGAATCAGGAAAGGTGAATGGGGCATGCTTGAGGTCACCCAGAGTTACTAGCCTTTGTAGTTTTCCAACTGTTGGAAGGATGGTTTTCCAGCTTAACCTGCTTGCTTCTTCCTAGTGCTGTGCCCAGCAAACACGGAGCAGAGAAAGTTCCAGACCTGTTTAAAGTGTGTAAACATTGTAGAAGTGCAGCTATATAGATTGTAATTCTCTGAAATATATCAACATAGGTTTGTTGTTGTTGTTGTTGTTTCCAGCTGGAATTTGGGATAGTTAGGTGCTCGGTTTTGAACTTTTGAAGGTCTTTTTACACCATGTTCAGATAAAATAACATCTTTACTGATTGAACCTCAGCAGGACTCTAGGCCTCTCTGGGTTTTTCTTTTCTTTTTCCTTTTCTTTTGTTTTTCTCCCTCTCTTTTAAGTAGGTGAGCAAAGTGCTCTGGCTGTCTCTGAACACAAGGGTGTTTACAGAGAAAGCCACCCTTGCCAAGCCCTTGAGTGATTTTGTATGCAAAGGAGGGTTCCTTGACCTCAGACTGGAGCCTGTAATTGATTACCTTTGCAGGATCACAGCTTCGGGAGGTTGGAGCCCCTTTAGCTGAAGCTGGACAGCTTCCCTGCTATTTGGAGACCAAGTCTGAAATTGGATCATAGAGTTAGGAAACAGGAAGCAACAGAGGTTCCTTTTGAAACCAGTTCTTAAGTATTCCAAAATTTGAGAAACAGTGGTCCTGCTCCGTGTCTGGTGTCATTCCCCCCCACCCCACCCCAGGCCCATGTCAGCTGCTCCTCCCACCCCCGCTTTTTGTGTCATCCCCAAAGCTTATGTCTTAATATGTTACTATTTTTGTTTGGGTCCTTGTAGAAGTTGTTCAAGAGAACATAGTTAAATAATCGAATCCTTGAATCCTAGGATTTCATTGATGTGGAGGACTAGATGCGGGGGACAGAGGGCCCCCCTCAGACCAGTGTGGCTCCATTCTTCCATGTGGGCCTCCTCTGCATTTTCTTAATGCCTTGTTGGGGGCCCCCCCCCGTCAGACTATCTTGTCTTGGCATACCGATGTTAGTCTTTGTAGTGTGTTCTTGGGATTATGACCTGTGGTGTTCTCTTTCGGATGTGGCGTGATACGCAAGTTTCGACTCACTTACTTTCTGTAATGTAGATATTTATTACACATATTTTTGTTTTTCAGGAGTAAGAAGATTGCTATTGAATTACAACCATGGTGCAGAAATACCAGTCCCCAGTGAGGGTGTATAAGCACCCCTTTGAGTTAATTATGGCTGTAAGTACCCCACGTTTCAGTTTACTCTGGCTTTTTAAGATTAAACGTGGGTGATCTGCAAATGCTCTTCTTTGTTATCATTGCTTCCTTTGCTCTGCTGTTTCTGTGTTTGTAACTTGTGCCCAGATTCTTCTATGGTTTTTAAAATACAAGCCTCCGAAGCTGCAGATCTGTACGTTTGTGCTGTTGCAATGTTTCTGGGGTAAAGGGTGCGAGCTTTCCTCGTTCTCCCTTGGAGAACACAGAAGTGGGATCCTGACCCAGTACTTCCTATGAATTTTGCTGGTTTTCTTTGTTCAAGTAACTGCGGACAGGGAGTGTGGTTTCTTCCATGTGATGCTTGTTTGGACGAGAACTGGTCCAGAGGGAAGTCACCTCTGGCGGTCTCAGGATTGAGTATTGTGTGATGGAGTTTTCCTACGTGTTAGTAAGCAGCGCTGCTACATAAGTTTTTCCACCAAATAATAAGTCCATGATCCAAACCCAGTTCCACAATGGGGTAGCTGAAGTGTTTATATGTCATCTGTCTGAGCTGGCTGACAACATTCACTAGGTTAAGAGACCGAGCCCTGCTTTCAGTCTCTTGTAAATGACCGCAGAGTGTTCCGTGTCGTTCCTTTCGTGTTACTGTTAAGGTGTGAGGCCCATATGGACATACATGTCATACTCAGGAGAGTGTACCTACCATGGAAATCACACTGGAGTGTATACCTGTGCCTTTAGCACCAAGCTCAGAGCATGCACCACTCAGCAGGGGATGAACTCTGCTTCAGTTGGGGCCCTGTGCCCATTTCTGTCAGAATGAGTGTCCCAGGCTGGCCTGGAACTTACAATCTTGCTGCCTCAGGCTTCCGAGTGCTGGGCACTCTAGCTGTACACTGATATTTCTGGCTGCTGCCCTCCTTCCTGCCCCTGGGTGACTGTTACCTGTTTCTGCTCTGTGGAAAAGCTCAGGAGCTCCTGTCCGTGGAGCTTCTCTGCAGTGTGCTCTGAGATTCAGTTAGATCAATAGCCTTGAAATGAAAAATAAAAACTAACATCCTCTCAAGGGAACATTGCTTGCTCTTTTCCCGATTGAAGTATTACCTGTTCACAGTGAAAGGGCCTCACGTAGCTGTGCAGTTGATGAGTTTTAACAATAGTCTCCAGCCCACGCCTGTTGGGGCAGGACATTTGCATTCTTGACCACAGACAGCTCCTTGTACAGCTTCTTTGTCAAGTGTAGGCCTTGGTTGTTGTTATGTGTGGGAGCTTTGGATCCTAAAAATAGTTTTGTATTTCCCCTAAATATTTTACGTGAATGATTAGAGAGAAGGATGCTCTTGTGTTTACTTGCTGGCTTGGCCTCTTGCCCCCCTCTCTTCTGTTTGCGTGCTGCCCCCGCCCTCCCCCAGACTTGAAGGGAGTTTTGTTAGAGGACGCATGTGATGTGGTAGGAATCACACAGAAGTTCAGGAATTCCTACTGGGCCAGGCTGGACCTGGTGCTGGAGGGTGGCTCTTGGCAGTGGTTGGCTGTCCCTGGACCTTCTCCCTGTGGGACCACCTAGCTCCACCACCCACTGACTCTGCCTACCCCCCCCCCCCCCACTCCCCACCCCCCGCCTGCTGAATTGGCCACAGGCCTTCGGATCAGTTCAGCTCTGTGGCTTTCTTGTTGCAGCTTCAGCTTTTGAGCGGCCAGTTCTTGTCTCGTTTCCTTCTTCACATGTGGGAGAGAGAGAGACTGGACAGAGGCTGGGGTGTTGAGTGGGAAGTCACCTGACCTTTGTTCAGTCTGCAAGGCTGCTGAAGTCGGGGAGCACCTGTGTGGGGAGGCACCAGGATGGAGCTGACAGGTTATGTTGGCCAAAACTTTGTGTGAAAAAGCTTAATGTGGGCTGATAAGCTGGCTTAGCTCGGGGAGAGACCTGGCGTGAGTTGGCTTCTGCCCTCCACACCTGCGCTCTGGCAGCATCCTGCCCTTCTCCTAATAAATGTAAAGAAAGAGGTTTTTTTTTTTTTCCCAAAATCTTGCCGTGAGTCTGTGGTTAGAGGCAGAGGTTAGCCTCTTCTAGCCCTGGATTTCATAAAAAACTGTGTGGGTTGCTCAGTGTTCAGACTTCCTGATTCCCTTTATTGCTTTCAAAATTAGGAAGTTTGCTTTGCAAATTCTATGCATGACTTTTGCATAAACTCAAGTTGGTAGCCACCCCAGTTTTTAAAGTCAAGCCGCCTGTAAACTGCTTATGTTTTTGGCACTGGCTAACTTCCTCTGGGGTTGTTAATTTTTTTCTTAGGTGTGAAAATAAAATATATTTCCTTCCTCCTTCCAGAACTGGGGTTGTCTGTTGTCCAGTTTTATATAGTGCCACTCTCCCTTTCCTGCTGCGACGTCGAGGCAGAAGAGCCTCAGTGTTTACTTTGCTTTTTTGTTGTTGTTGTTTATTACTATTATTACTATTATTAATTGGTTTTTCGAGACAGGGTTTCTCTGTGTAACAGCGCTGGCTGTCCTGGAACTCACTCTGTAGAGTTGTAGGCTGCCTGGCTTACTCAAAGATCTGCCAGCCTCTGCTATCCAAATTCTGGGACTAAAGGTGCATGCCCCATGCCCAGCTATTTTGTCTTATTATGGCAACCAGTGCTGTCCACTGTAGCTCAAAGGGGAGGGGAGCGCTGCCCAGTGCGTTGTGATCTCCCAGGCAAAGGCTGGGAGTAAGGAACTACACCAGTTACACCTTTGCTCCTGTGAAGCCAGGGTTTGTGACTGAGGCTTGCAGAGCATTGTCAGGGAGCATTGCCTAGCGAGACAGGAGTCACACTTTTTAACTGCATTTCTGTCGAGTTAATGAAAATTCACTGTTGGCTTGAGCGTCAACAACATTGAAAAAAATCTTGTTGAGGTTTCATTAGCTTATTTGAATTAAAAGTGGCATTTAAGCGAACAGAGCTGAAGTGATGGTCTTGACATTCCGAGTGTTTTAGTGAGTGGTTGGTTAGCCTAGAAATGGCTGTAGAGATGGAGAAAGGGCCAGCTTCCCACCCTGCTGGGGTGGGGGCAGTTAATGGGGGACATGAGAGTCTCGGGTTCAGCATTCATTTCATCGCCTGCGCTCCTGATAGTGTGCATCCCAGCGCATTTTATAATGGCTCTGGTCCTCGATGATGTCCACATCCTCAGGTTTCAGCCGGACACATTTCCTGGACTGGCTTTGTTCTTCTTGCTTGGCTCCCTTGCCTACACAAAGGGTTAATAGTCTCCTGGGAGGACCTGTGTGCTCCACAGATCAGGGGTCAGTACCAGGCAAAGGTTGACATCCTGGGAGTGGGGGGTGGCAGTGTTTTGCTTAGAAATTTTAGGATGAAGCACAGGTTTTAAAGCTTGGCCAGGTGTAGCGATGTGTGAAGAGAATCTCAAATTCATCCTGGACTGGGGACAGAATGAGACCCTGACTCAGAGATTTAGGTACTTCCTGAACTATGTTAAAGACCCTCTAGCTGGAAGGCTGGACGTGTGAGAGGGGAACTCCGAGGGGCACGGTATGAGAGCCTGGTATGTTTTTCTGGCAAGGACAGCTGTCCCCATGGACAGCTGAGATGTGTAATGGAAGGTCTCTGATGGCTTCTGCCCACCTCACACTCACAAATGTCCAGGCCTGCTCCTGCCCTGGCCTCCCTCCCCCTTTCCCTCCTGTCCACACCCCAGTTTCTCTGTCCCTGTTAGTACTGCTTGCCACAGAGCGCAGACACCCTGAAGATGGTGCCTTTGGGTCACACAGTTGATCCCCTCTGCCTATCAGTCCCAGCACCTGCCCAGTCTGAGCCCTTGTCCCTTTATCAGTGACCCAGTTATTCATTCATTTACCTCCTCAGTGTTTGAGCCCTTCAGGGTTCCTGTGAACCCCACGGTTCAAGAGGTGATTTCCCACTGCCTGCTGCTCCTTCAGGGCCCTGCCTGTCTGTGTCCGGCCCTTTAAGATCGTTATGTTCTGGCATGGTCTGTGAGCCCGGTGCCTCTGCCCCTCCGTGTCTTTTTATATTCCCTTGCCTCACGTGTTTGCCTTCCCCATCTGTCTCTTCAGATCTTGTTCAGCGTGTCCTGCCCTGCTTCCCTGAAGCCTCTCAAGGCATGCCTCCTGTTCCCTTCCCTTCCCCCGGTTTCTTTTTTTCTCCGCTGCTGAGGGATGAACCCAGGCCGCACGCACCCTGGGCACGTGCCCTGCTGCCGAGTCTCACCCACACTTCCGACTTGTACTTAGTGTTATGTCAGCATTAGGCACTTGGCTTGTGATTGCATTTGCTTTGCAAAGCTGCTGAGTGTTCCTCAGAGCGGGGTGTCACTGATGTTTCCCTTGGTCTGAAAGTGGCCTGAGTAACAGATTTCTGCTTGTTCCCCTGTACCCTGAGGACGAGGCTCTGCCTGGATTTGGTGGGAACTCAGATCTGAACCGCAACTGTGACCTGTTCTCATAGGCGTTTGTTTTCTCTGTGAGAGAGGAACAGTGGTCCTTAGGTTGTCCAAGGTGTCCCTAAAGAAGGCCTCCATCTCCAGAGTAGCTGAGATTATAGGGCTGCATCCCCATGCCTAGCTAGAGTTAATTTCTGCTCTTACAAATGAGCACATTGCTCCACAGGGGACTGTCTTAAATCACCCATGCAGCCCAGTTCTAGAGGAGAACGCTCCTTTCCCTCTGATGGTGTCGAGGGTTCCAGTGGGTTGTTTGGAGGGTGTACTGTGCTCTCTGATGAGGTTGCATACCATGCTCTATTGCTGTTAAAAGTGGGCCATTCTAGTTTGTATGTGGGGAGCTAGGCCTTCCCCACCTTTACCCCACCCCTTTGCACTCCAAGTCAAGTCATGTTTACTGTAGGGGGCACATTGTGAGTGCTAGTATTTTTGTAGAGAAATGAGGCAGGATCAGATTTAACTCCAACAACAAAATGAAACAAAAAAACTCGCCAAACATTGCATTATGAAAACTGTCAGGGATACACAAATAAAGAGAATCATAGATTGCC